CCCTAAGCCGAGGGTATGCCCGATTTCGTGTAATAGCACGGTATACAAACTCGTTTGTGGTGCGGGCGCAGGCACATCGTTCCCAAAATACCAGTTTTCGTCTTTATCCAAATGGATTTCCACACACTTTTGATTTGTATTGGGAAAAAATGCGTGACCCAAAACTTGACAGTAGTTTATTGGTACAGTATAGGCCGCCCCCACTCCTCTCCCTTTTTGTGGGCGTGTCCTCCTTCCCCACGACTCTCTAGCTCCTCCGCCTTTACCCATAATCCCTTGAAACTGGCCCTCATTGGATAAGCAATCAGAAATGTGGGGTTTAATCAATCCCCCTCCTCTAGTTTGCGATGGCGGCGAAGCCAATCAGAGCCCAGATATTTTCCCACCCGTAAGAAAAGCAATGGCGTCAATGAGACTTGATCATATTGTTCGCGTGATCATCTGCACCCTCTAGCGGTTCGAATGTAAACTAGTGTCCCCTCTTGAAATAAGATTTTCTTTAATAAGGTAACCCCACCTAGTGAATATTGACCAAAACAATTTATTTTAAAAACGTATAGTTCTGCGAATGTGTACCCTCGCGGGTACAAACTGTACTTTTCACTATTGCGCACAAAGGACAGGGGAAATAAAGACGAAAAGTGTTGGATTTCTTTTTTCGGAACTGGAAGCTGGCAGGCACCACCAATAATATCTGCAAAACAAAAACCTGGTTAAAATTTTCATTAATAAAGTAGGATATTAGAAACCATATACCTTTTTAATTTACTAAGCCATCTACCGTGCGTTAACTTCATATATATTTCTGCATGCTTCTGTTTTAAGGTATCGTGAAATATTTGACTATTTATCTGGGAAAAGTTCATATGTCGAAAATATTATGTGTATGTGGCGTTGGTAGGCTTTCTTTGCTATTATAATTTTATTTTTATTATTTAATATTTACAAAATTAATTTATCTATCTTATTGATGATTTTAAGATATCGCAGTCAACTTTACTATTTCATCAATTTCTTTTATTTATTGCTGATCTTTGAGGATAGTGTACATACTTTTTTTCGTAACTTATCTGTATCTACCCTTTAATTTCCTATCAAGCCATAAAGCAAACTCGAAAGGCATCTTAACTAAAAAGTCATATACTTTAAAGCTGCTGCTACTACTACATGAAAGTGTGTTTCTATGGAAATCTCAACAACAATAAAATCTGGACGCTTATATTAAATACTGTAATACTCTTCTCTGCTAACGCTCTAGGAGACGCTATTTGAACCCTGTTCAAAGAAAAACTTCTACAGTCCAAATAACCTCTCTGAACCACACTTAAGCGCATCAGTCTTTCACTGTCTTGCAGCCTTCAGATTAATATTCCGTACTAACTACGAATGCCATACACGAAACGTTCTCTTTTCTAATTTTTTTCTATGCGCTACATTAACGAACAGGATCTAAACTTTTCTGTCTGTGTATTTTGTTAGCCACCTTAAAAAAATTAAAAAAAGGTATGCGAACCTAGAGGATATTTTCCATATTTTTCACAAATGGTGACAACAATTAATGCAAGTATTATTTTTAATAATAATCCATCTTTCGCTATGACACGAAAGCATCGATTTTTTAATTCTAACTTTTCTCATAGAGCTTCCCTTTAGTCTCTATCTGTTCTTTAACTAAATCCCCCGCCTTTTTGAAAAACCAACCTCTAAAAATAGTTAATTTTCTCTAATATAAATTTGTACGTTTTCCGCAATATGTGTGAATATTTTTGCTAGAGCATTTAGTTACTTAGTACATGTCCTAATCAATATTTTAAAAATATAATTCTAATGATACGTGTTTACGATTTGAAGATAACGAAACATTCCCCAGTTTTTATAAATGAGAGCTCACTGCCAAACTACCAAACATCACAGTACAAACTACCGTACTACGCCCCCCCCCACCCCCTGGAGAAAAGCAGGTTAGTCAGCGTCATTAACTCTACCTGCGTTAACGAATAGCGTATTGTTAATTAAGGTTTAATACGCAGAAAACTTAAGTAACAAATAATTGCAATGAAACTCACTAACATCATAATTATTTAAAAAAAAATTAGAACAGTTTGAATTTACTGGAGTAACCAATTTGGCACTAAAAATGGAAATTTTCGATACTCTACTAGGCGCCTACAATAAATTTTACTATTATTTTTAATGCAGAGACACAACGATTTTCTAGTTCTGAATTTGATCAGGGGTATATGACCATAGTTTACGCCGACTCTAAAAGGCATGCAGTCTATTGTTTTTGAACGCCCCATTTTGTGTATTATGTTCAAAACAGAGACTCTCTGGGCTTACGACTACAGCTACCAGCTACTACTTTCAATAATATTAACACAAAAAAAAGTAGGTGGCATTTCTATAATACGTGCAAAGTTTATGTGAAACTGACTGGAAGACAGAGTAATGCACCAATATGTTACTAAACATATTTCCATAGAATTCCGTAAGAGCTTACCTCCAAGTTTTCTCATTTAGTCAGTCAAAGCATCAAATGGGAAATTCCAATCCAACATATGTAGTGGTGGAAATATATCAATCGCCTACGTTACCGATGGTACCCGACTGAAGCTTCTGCGTCTTCTTTACCCTACATGCCTACTTAAAAAGATACTGGTCTAAGTCTCAATATTCCTGTTAAAAAAAGAGAGGTTCTATATTGTCATAAATATGTGTTTTCAAAATTTTACCTGAATGGTTCGTGATTTCTTATATATGCAGTGTTGGCAGCAATGTGGCGACGACTGCGCTGAAACTTTCCATATCTCGTGTCCCCATGACTGGTCTGTTTCATATATGAAAGCTCACCTCGCACGGGTTTGAACCTCCTTTAAAAAAAAAACAGGCAAGACCTACATCTCTTTCATTTTTTAATTAAAAAAGTGACACAATTACGCGACGTAACTCGATCCGGATCGTTAACGCGTCTCAAGATGGGGGGTTTAGAGATGCTGAGGTCATTAAATTGATTCACTAATACCAGTACATACTGAAACCCCTTATTTCCAAAATAAAAAATTGTTAACTGTTAACACAAAAAAAAACTATTTTCTCACCAATTATATTTCTGGGGTCGTTTTCAGAATTTGTCCAACGTAGAATCCCAAGAGGATAGGGACGCAATTTCGAAAAATGTTCATGTCTCCCCACTATGCATTTGTACACGAAGCAGGGCCGGATTAACAGCAATTATATTCTTGTCAGTCAACATACAGCCGCCGATTGAATTCTCGGATTCTGCTTTACTAGTTGCCATGGTCTGTCAAATATGTTACTTAAAAAATTGTATAGTTTTTTACAAATAATATACCTTTCCTAAAATAATTCTGCCTTTGTCAAGTTGGACAAGGGCACGTCTGTCCGCTTTTCAAAGCGAGTTGTGTATTTGCTGGCAATCCGAGCCTGCTTGGAACATTTTGGAAGATACATACGCCGCGCTTTTCAAAGCCTTTTAGAGTCGGCGTAAACTATGGTCATATACCCCTGATCAAATTCAGAACTAGAAAATCGTTGTGTCTCTGCATTAAAAATAATAGTAAAATTTATTGTAGGCACCTAGTAGAGTATCGAAAATTTCCATTTTTAGTGCCAAATTGGTTACTCCAGTAAATTCCAACTGTTCTAATTTTTTTTTTAATAATTTATGATGTTAGTGAGTTTCATTGAAATTATTTGTTACTTAAATTTTCTGCGTATTAAACCTTAATTAACAATACGCTATTCGTAAACGCAGGTAGAATTAATGACGCTGACTAACCTGATTTTGTCCAGGGGGGGGGGGCGTAGTACGGTAGTTTGTACTGTGATGTTTGGTAGTTTGGCAGTGAGCTCTCATTTATAAAAATTGGGGAATGTTTCGTTATCTTCAAATCGTGCCATAGAAACACACTTTCATGTAGTAGTAGCAGCAGCTTTAAAGTATATGACTTTTTAGTTAAGATGCCTTTCGAGTTTGCTTTATGGCTTGATAGGAAATTAAAGGGTAGATACAGATAAGTTACGAAAAAAAGTATGTACACTATCCTCAAAGATCAGCAATAAATAAAAGAAATTGATGAAATAGTAAAGTTGACTGCGATATCTTAAAATCATCAATAAGATAGATAAATTAATTTTGAAAATATTAAATAATAAAAACGAATAATAAAATAGCAAAGAAAATCAAAATCATCAATAAGATAGATAAATTAATTTTGTAAATATTAAATAATAAAAATAAAATTATAATAGCAAAGAAAGCCTACCACGGCCACATACACATACACACATACACTTTTCCCAGATAAATAGTCAAATATTTCACGATACCTTAAAACAGAAGCATGCAGAAATATATATGAAGTTAACGCACGGTAGATGGCTTAGTAAATTGAAAAAGTATATGGTTTCTAATATCCTACTTTATTAATGAAAATTTTAACCAGGTTTTTGTTTTGCAGATATTATTGGTGGTGCCTGCCAGCTTCCAGTTCCGAAAAAAGAAATCCAACACTTTTCGTCTTTATTTCCCCTGTCCTTTGTGCGCAATAGTGAAAAGTACAGTTTGTATCCGCGAGGGTACACATTCGCAGAACTATATGTTTTTAAAATAAATTGTTTTGGTCAATATTCACTAGGTGGGGTTACCTTATTAAAGAAAATCTTATTTCAAGAGGGGACACTAGTTTACATTCGAACCGCTAGAGGGTGCAGATGATCACGCGAACAATATGATCAAGTCTCATTGACGCCATTGCTTTTCTTACGGGTGGGAAAATATCTGGGCTCTGTTTGGCTTCGCCGCCATCGCAAACTAGAGGAGGGGGATTGATTAAACCCCACATTTCTGGTTGCTTATCCAATGGGGGTCAGTTTCAAGGGATTATGGGTAAAGGCGGAGGAGCTAGAGAGTCCTGGGGAAGGAGGACACGCCCACAAAAAGGGAGAGGAGTGGGGGCGGCCTATACTGTACCAATAAACTACTCTTGACCTTTTCCGTCAAATTTATAACTACATGATCCGTTGCCTTGACATCTTACGCTTTGTTTATGTTCGTACGATTTATCGGTGATTAGAATCAGAATATCGGGCTTCATGTAATTGTAAGCGAATTCTAAATTGGAAACGGAACTCCAAATTTTGAAAACTTGGTTGGCAATCGTCCGTAATCGAATCCTTTGCCAGGGTGCCGAGGCTTGAACATACCAATTTAAGGTCGTTTTATTCCATACCGCATTGGCGGTTGTGAAAGCATTTTCTTCTATTCCGCAGCGGGGGCTTTTAATTAGCGCTATGTTCTCATTGTTTAGAGTACCGTCCATTGGTAGATTGTACAATTCCTGAAAATCCATTAACGCTTGCTCTAAACTGACCGGATCGATCTGAGTGAGAGACACGTCGTCGTCGTCGTCGCCCCCGCTATTCACCGGCAGAAAGCCATATTTTTGTAAATAATCAGAGAGTTCCTGGTCGATTAGCGTCGTGTCGTCTTCAGTTGTCGAGCACATAGCAAGGATAGCGTAGAGAAGAAGAAGAAGAAGTGAACAAAAACCCACAACCCTCATCTCTCTCTCTCAATCAAAAGTAACTGCAGTACTAAATATTCACCGATCATAACTGGCGTTTTTATAGAGGGACGTGAGAGATGATTTTTTTTAAATTCATATTTACGTGTATGTTTTTTTTAAATAATACATGTTGCGCAGATCAAAATAAAACGACAAAGTTTTTTTTGAAAAAAAAATATTTTAATTTTTTTTATACAATAATGGGTATACTGGTGTATACCCATGAATATAATTCGAAAATATTATTTAGGACGCACATCCGTCGCCGTCCACCCTTGTGGAACATGCAGTTAGGCCTCGCCTTCTTCTCAAACTTTGGAGGGGGAGGTACAGTTGCGGCGGGCTGGGGGCTGGTGCTGGTGGCGACGTGGCTGTCTCGTCGTCCGCCGTCATCAAACTGTTCCACGTTAATGATGGTGGGCTTCCACGCCGACGACTCCAGCCTCTTGGCCAGAAAGTCCGCCTTTACCTGTCCCCTCACGTAAATGACGTCGGCCTGTGCGCTAATATGATTTATCACGTCGTCCACCCTCGCATAGTCGACAAATCCCCCGGTGTATATCAATCCATGGAGGCGATCCTCCAACCTCTGTACCCCCCGCTTGTCGGCGGAGGACAGCCGCCCATATTCCTTTGGAGGCTTGAAAATGAAATGGCAGCTTTGACTGCCATTACATGCCGCCAACTCCTTGACGACGAAGCCCTCGCCGTCTTGCAGCTGGAATCCCAGCATGTCGACCACCACGAACCGCATTTTTACCACAAAATGTTTTGACTGCACAAGCTTTGTACCACGAACTGCGCCGCTCGATCAAATTTGCCTCGTATTTATTACGACAACGTTCGGACAATCACCACAACGTATTTCTTCTATAACGGAGGCAGTGTATGTTCTAAATCCTTGTTTTTTTGTCCGCTGGTGGTGATGACGATGACGGTGATGGAATAACTTCGTCGCAATATAAACTTATATTGTTCGAACGACTTGTTAATTCCGAACAATATTTTATATTATATTTTGGATGATTTTTAATGGATTCTTCACAAAAGCAAAAATATTTGTTACAGCTATTACAGTACTTGGTACCGTGATAGTAGACTTTGGAGTTTTCCGAAACATCTTGTTTCACTTTTTTTTCGGTTGGCACCCCACGCTTGTCGGCGGAGGACAGCCGCCCATATTCCTTTGGCGGCTTGAAAATGAAATTGCAGCTTTGACTGCCATTACATGCCGCCAACTCCTTGACGACGAATCCCTCGCCGCCGTCTTGCAGTTGGAATCCCTGCATGTTTACCACAAAATGTTTTGACTGCACAAACTTTGTACCACGAACTGCGCCGCTCGATCAAATTTGCCTCGTATTTATTACAACAACGTTCGGACAATTTCGCTAAGCGGCCGGTGTTCCACGATGCAATCGTGAATGATGACGCAGTACGCGCGCGTATTTGCAGGAAATCCGTTTTTAGCCTCGATATCTAACTTAACGTCGACCGTGCTGGATTTCAGACTGTCGTTTATTCTAGAACAATCGAAATTTCAATTTTCTAATATTTCTTTTTGAATGTAAAATTTTTCATTTATTTCTCTCAATGAAAATTTAAAAATTATTATATATTTCTAGGGGGACAATAAATCACTACCGACAACTTAGTTATGAAGAATATCATTCATCCAATATGAAAAAAAAAGAAATGAAATAAATGAAAACTATAAAGAATAAAATATCGTTTATTTAAAAAAAAATAATTCAAGTGAATATCACATGTGATATTAAAAATATTCATTACTACATAAATTACTTCCCTTCCTAAAGTATTATAATTAAGGAAAAAGTAAAAGAAACAATAATAATGCGGATAAGTACAGATTATTTTTAAATATATTTTTCGATATATTTTTGCATAATGATGTTAAACATCTTAACGAAATTACCAAAAAACTACAATAATTTTTTAATATTTCATCGCATGTAATTGCCTAATAATATCATACATAATATCACATAATTGCCTAATTCGTGAAATTAGCAATATGACATATTTTAATTCTAACGTGAAATTTGTGACGTCATTGACAGTTGCGACGTTATCCAATACGGTTCTGCAGTGCCCATCCGAATTTGAATCTATGGTAGATACAACCACATTCGAACACGAAGAAGAGACGTAGAAGACGCCGAGATGATTCTGTGGTGGAGCATTGCACGCGGCGGTTTAACCTCCGTTCGCTCCTTGTTCACTTGACGAAAAGCCAAAATTAAATTTTGAGCGTCCTCAATAGTTCGCGTAAAATTCATTGCGATCTAATAATAATAATAATAATAATATTTGAAAAAATAAGACTTACCGTCTCTCTCTCTCTCTCTCTCCCCCGTAATTTTTAATTTTGAACTATTTCAAATTGTTGAGCGGGCCAACTGCCGACTTCTTTAACGCCCCGATACACCAGACTGTAGCGGCCCGTCGAAAATTGGTCTATATTCGGCCGGAAGCTGTCCGTCACCCGGTTCGGCAGGAACACCACCGATAATTCTAACTCCAATAGAACCGCCTCCCCAAACTGGGTCTCTACTATTCTGGCCTTGTCTATCTTGTATGGTCGACCAACGTCTAACTGCCCCAACTTAACTATTGGTTTTCGATTCTCTTTATTCGCTGCAATTTTTTCATTTAATGCTTTTAAGTCCATCTATAACGAAAGTAGAATCCTTCAGTTCAATATTGACAATTTTTTCAAAAAAACAAAAATAGTACTTACTTTTGGCGTTGGTTTGGGAGGGTGCGGTGGCGCGCCTAACACTGAGATAACACGGATCGTTTGGTCAATTAAGCGACTTGATCACACACACACACAACTCAAGCGGTATTTAAATGATGACAAACAATCGAAACCTTTTATATACTGTATTCCGCCAGCGGACTAATATGATAGTCTCGTTTAAAATATTTTTTTGCGGCGAAGGCAGGCGACGCGATGATCTCACCCGCCAAGGTTTCGTTTAAACATATCGCAAAGCGATGATGTCATGCATCCGCTGCCGCACACCGGCGACGCGGCGGGCGATCCAGTCGTCAAACGCGACGGCGGCGGTACGCCATCGCACACAATCGCGCTGCAATTTACATTCATTGTTGCGAATAAGCAATATCGTGTTCCCTACACGCCGCGTCCAAAGGATTCACGCCGCTATCACCGCGACTAAGCCGTTTTTTCAATTTCGTCCCCGGTCCGCAAAATTGATAACCGGGAAGGTGTAGTTCGAAAGGTAACTTATTTATCAGCGTGTTAACGAGGTCGCTTCCGGACGCAAAGTATAACATACTGACAAAATGAAATTACGGAGTGTCTATATATATATACAGGGGGGAGGTGGTTGAAGTAATGCCGCACTCTCCCTCATCGAAAATTTAGATTTTGGTTTCGTTTAAAGATTTTTTTTTTGCGGGAACAAGAACGTCATCAACAGGAACACCGGGATGGTCGACTAACTGGACGCAAAAAGAAGAAGAAGAAGACCCGGGGGGGGGGGGGGCGGGGGACTCTACCAGCGGAGGCTACGCCCCCACCACGGACCACGGTTGGCACCACTGACAACGGTTAGGTTGGCACCACGGACGACGGTTAGGTTGGCACCACGGACGACAGTTTGGTTAGACTGGTACCACGGACGATGGTTTGGTTAGGTTAGGGCGAGTGGCCAATGGTCGAGTGACCTTGAACCAATGGGCGAGCGACCAATGGACGTACGGCCAGAACACAACAAGAAGAAGACCCATAGCCGAGTGGCCTATGGGCGAGTGGCCAACGGGCCCAGGATGAAAGAAGAAGACCCGTGGCCGAGTGGCCCGTGGGCGGTGGGCCCGTGGCCGGGAGGCCAAAAAGTGAGGTTATGGGGGGCCTGGATGTCCCTTTATCGATCTACTTACATTTCTGTAATTCGGTTTACACTAATTAACCTCCTTTTTTGAAATTTCTTGAAATCGGCCATGCTAATGGTAACAAAACGAATCGAAAAAAATTTTTTATTGTGGCGAATTTACAAAGATTTCAACCCAAAAGTAGCAAAACGACACTAACCTATTAGGTGAACCTCGTTTTAGTCGAGTCTATCAAATATCACAAAAAAAAACGAAAATACCGTAGGTAACGAAAAAAGCAGTTAGCTATACTAGGAAATCAAAATTCAGAGGTTAATTTCAAATGAAAAATAAATAATAAAGCAAGCGCGACGACAATATAATAATAGTAAGGTGCGACAAAATAGAAAACTACCTTTATTTGAAATCAACTTTGAAAAAATGAGTTTTGTTGAAGCCGCGAATTTTTTTATTTTCACTAAATATAAAATTACTAGACAAAACAGCTGATCCGATCTCTTTGTTTACGACAAAAAAATTTTTAATTTGACCCGTGCGCTCAGCAGAAAAAATAACTGCGACCTGGAAAATGACAATTTTGAATTTAAGAATTTTTTATTTGTTCGGTTCCGGTTCGAATGACCAGAAAATATTAGTACAAATTGAAAAATTTGTAATGCTGAATCGATATAAAATAAACTGGTAGCGGACTGTATTTTCGCGACAAATTTGCATTTACATCCGGCTACAACAAGGGTTCGCCCTACCTTCTGCTGGCCCCTCTGGTGATCTCGATGGCCCTCGGTGGTTCGCTTCTTGATTGTTGCGGGCGCGACACATTTTTATTTCCAGGCAATTAACGCGTCACAGACCGCGGTACCGAACTCGTCCGAATTATTCGACAACATATCGCCGACAGGTGCTTCAGTGCGATGGCGCTGCTGTAGCCGCGCGAGAAGGGGCTCTTGAAAGTGGTATAGCCATTTGTTTTTCGCTTAGAAATATTTTATTTTAAATGTATCAAATGAAACTAACCAGCATAGAAATCTTTGCACGAACAATTGTTATTATCTTTTTTT